TAGTTAAAGTGATGGGAAGGGATTCTGGAACTCAAGAAAACGTGCGTAAATTATCTTCTCCTCCATACGTCACATTCAGTTTTTTACTGTTTTTTGTCTAAATAAATAAGTTGTAATTAGTATTAAAGGAATAAACGAATAAAATGTGATTCAGTTATTTATATTATTTTGCTTCAATTTTCAGTCAAATTTAATTTCAAATTCCATCAAAAGAAATAAAACTATGCATAACCTTTGTTTATTGTACATAGTGTTATTTACATATAACTATTCCATAAAACATGTATCTTTCTATGAGATGTTCAGAATTCATATATAACGAAAACATATAATATTTTTCACATTAATTATTCACTCCAGTGATTCCTGAGTAAATTAACTGGTGTTTGGCATAGTTATAGGCTACTTTCAATGATGATATATTCCGAAATTCATTATTACAAACGAAAATTCAGGTGCAACTATTCTGTACAAACCAGATACAATCGACTGAGTATGATTTCACATTTTTTACGGTTGCTGTGACGAGAATGGTGGTACAGTTCCGGTGCACTTCCCGGCGACTCATTTAATGGCTATATCTTCATTAGTTGTCTGGTACAAACAAACGTTCACATGGAACTATCAGATACATACCAGGTACAATCGATTGAGTATGATTTCACATTTTGTTCCTTTTGCTGTAGCGAGAATGGTGGCAGACTCATTAAATGGTGCACCTCATTAAATGGCTGTATCTTCATTAATTGTTTGGTACAAACGAAAATTCAGGTGGAACCATTCGGTACAAACGATTTACAATGTTTCCATTTTTTTACGTTGTTGGCGGTGGCAGTGTGAAGTTCACACCACTACAATAGAAAGTGCTGTATCTTGAAAAAAGGTTTTGGTACAACGAAGTTTATTGGGGTACAACCGGGGACAAACCAGGTACAAACGAATGGTAGTGGTTTCAGTGGTTTTCGATGCAGGGGCGGATCAATATTTTTGCCGCCTGTAGGCACTTCAAATTTGCCGCCCCGTTTAAAATTAATGTTACATTTCAAATTGTAACGATTCAGTAACAATTCCTCATTAATTTGAACGTTTTAACTTTAAAAGTAACATTTCATTTTTCACATTGTCTTCATAAATTAAATTTTTTTTTGATTAGCTAATTTTGGATATAAACTGTATCTTCATAGCAAGTAACGTACAACATTATTAACGTTTCAACACTAAATAGTTAACATTAAAAGGAAATTAAAACATGACAACTAGAATTGCAACATGTTTTCTTTCGTCAACGGGCCATACTTTCAGATTCATATACTTCTGAAATCATAAGGTATACTCTAATGAAGTAGACAAATAAATAGCTTGTATTAAATATTAATATGATAGATTTTTATTTACAACAACTGAACGATTAGAATATTACGACGTTGTAACAGTTTTTATAATTTTCGATTTACCATTATAAACAAGGAATATAATATTTAACTTTTTGGATAGGGTTTTTTATACAGTTGAAATAACGTTTTATTAATTATAGCTAATTTGTCTATGGATGTAAAATTTTGCGGCGTGCCTTTTGATGACCAAATTCATCAATAATTATAGTATAATCTAAAACGCGGAGATAATTTTCTTCAATACACAATAACGCTAAGGAGTTCAGTCGCTACTCTGTCATTGTAGAACGCAAATAATTTTTAATCCTTTTTAAACAAGAGAATGAACGTTCTGCTGTGCAATTGGCCACCGGAATACATACAAAGATTCGAAGTGCAATGTCAACGTTAGGATAAATACATTCTAATTCTTCTTTCCGTACCCACTTTAATAAAGCTGGAGGATTCGTTGGCTTAACATCTTCGTCAAGGATTTTTAAATACTAACTTAAATGTATAAGCTCAGAAACAAGCGATTCTTCAAGATCTTGGGTAATTGTGAACATAAAAATATCGCTGATTTTTCCAAATCTATCAAAGATAATTTTTATATTTTAATGACAGTCTTAAATTTGTCATATTATACATATATATAATTTGTCATTTTATACGCTTCAAGTCTCTTATTCAATTATGCAAGTAATTTATCAACAATAACCAAGTAAGTGTCGATTTCAAACTTGTCTCGTGCGGTCAGTTCTGCTGCATTCTCGTTAGTTTCATCACATTGCATTTTACGTTTCCTTTTTCTTTTGTTTTCCGATTCGTACGTTTCAGTATTTGACAGCTTTTTACCGTTCTCTTCAAAAAATTCAAAATTGTCTCTGTTCGTTTTTAAAAGTTCTACAAGTGAAGTGTAAATACCAACCACGGAACTTAAATCGATATCGACTTTTTGCAGTTTTTTGTTCGACGCATTCAAAGGGTCTAAAATGAAGGCCCAAACCTCGGTCATAATAGCAGTTTCGATTTAAAGCAACAACAAGACCTTTAGCTTCTGCACGCGTTTACGATTTTTGCGTAGAATCAGATATAATTTGAAGGGCATCTAAAACATTTTGCCAACGATGTTTTAGAGCCTGGCATGCATCATCTCGAGCTGACCAGCGCGTAATTGAAAGACTTTTCCAAGAGGTACTGGATCCTTCTTCTACTAAATTTTGAAGTATGTCCCACCTTGATGTAGATGCACTAAAGCAATTATATAAATTTTGTAGAAGTAGAAAGCATTTACGTCTTTCATATGCGCTTGAAGACCTGTGTAAAGACCGGACATATTTGACGCGTTGTTGTAGGACAGACCACGACAATTATTAATGTCCAGTTCGTTAATCGCCGTAAAATTACAGACAGCGTCGAACATCTCCTTTGATTTATGGCCTATGTTTGGAAGGAATTTCAAAAATGACTCATTTGGTGCACCATCTTTTCCCACATGCCTAATAACTATAGCGAGTTGATCCACGTGTGCTAATGTCTGGTGTAGAGTCCACGATTATAGAAAAATACTTGGCACTTTTTATTACTAAAATGACACGCTCAAGAACGTTCCTCCAATAAGTTTTTTTCGGTTTCAACTTGTTCAAGCAGTTGCTTATTCACTTAGTTTTCAGTCCGCTGTTTATTTTTCAATGCGGACGTACAGTTTCTATGACATGTAGAATTCCCATGTTCTTTTAATTTGGTATGCACATTTTTCCAATCATTGAATCCCTCCGATGATAATTTTGTTCTTACTTCTGAATTGCTTGAAAACAATAGACAAACACCGCAGAAAACAATTCCATTGCTCTCAGAGTAAACAAGCCACTTGCGAGGCATTTTTTTTCTTTACTGATATGCGTGTACTCAAACATATTCGACGTTAAGTAACGAACTTTGCCATCATTGTACTCTTTTCTTGATTTAGAAAAGTCAGCGTTTCTGTTTTGTTCGAACCCATGCTTGGCAACATAATTATGTGTAGCTTCATTAATAGACCGAGAAGCTGGATCGCTTTTCCAACAAAACCGATCAGTCGAAGTTATGGTTTCATCAATTTTATGTTCTTGCAGTTGTATACATTCGGTAGAAATCCTATTTAATTAAAAAAGAAAATAATAGATTATTATAATAATGTATGTAATATCATAAACAAATATTCTAGAAAGATTATGTGTGTGTATATAGGTTTAATTAATTATACAAAAAAATGCTTGAACTATTTACATCGGTTGAATCGTCGACTCATAATCAATCACAGTTATATTTTTAATTGCTTGAGGAACCATTTCATGTTTAGCTGTTTGGAACTTTGCAGTCTCGTTATTAGATTCAGTAATAATCCTGAATAAATAAAAGAGTCAAACTATAATATGTATTATTACATATTATATAAAATAAAGGTTAGTAACATAATTATAGTAACATATTTTATGCTAATTTATTTAAATTCTATATTAAGAAATAGTTCATTTTAACGAATACAACAACAACACGTCAAGAGTATTTAACTTCTATTCATTGTACTAAACAGTTTTTGCCTTTTGAGAATATTTTGGCAACACAACTCTGCATTAAAAATATATTAATGTTAACATTTATTTATCACAAGTTGTTAGTACATGGAAAAAATATACAAGCTGAAAACTAAATATGTTATCTAATCTATGTGTTTATACTAACTCAGTAATAGAATTGTCGAATGAACTGCAGTAGTGATCAGTTTCACATATAGGTTTACAGAATTCATTTTTTTTTTGTCTTATCAATTTCATTTTGACATTTCTCTTCCATTTCTTTTCGGATTTTTGCATACTGACTTCCGCTCAGCCTTTTTCGATAATCACTCATTTTAAAACTTCAAAATATCATTTTTACTCAGCAGGCTCTTACAATAAACGATACAAAATAGTAACAAAAGAAAGAAAAGGGTAATTTCCAGACATAGAGGAGAGATACAATATATCTCTACTCTATGTTTCCAGATCCGTCTACTAGAACTAACTCAAGTAATAGATGTCGCTACTTTCTATATAGCGCAATATGAATGCATGGCGAAATCCGTCAGCGATTTCTGATTGGCTAAAGCAAACTCCTTACTCTAAGAATGTAATTTTTTCTGCTCAATCAACCAATCAGAAGTCGTTGGCGAAGTCTTTTCATGCATTCTGTAATATTAAAATGTCCCCATTTGAAATTCAAATTTAATTTATAAATCAAAGGTTGAGGGGCGGCTATAGTCTCGTTTAAATCATTTTTAAAATAAAAATATGATTTATGCTGTTATAGTTTTTAGATAAACTAAATTTGTTTTAGAAAATATCAAGAAAATTTTGCGCCTTTGAAAATTTGCAGCCGTAGGCACGTGCCTGCTGTGCCTATGCGTAAATCCACTTCTGCAAATACGGCCATTTGTATACAAATACAGCCATTTGTATTGAATCTGTTTAAAAAAGAAAATATCCAAAACTGATTTGTAATATTTGGTTGAACACTACGTATTAAATTGACGCCCATGCGATATCCATAACGGTGGCGTATGCGCGGCTTGTGATAAGAAATTTTTTCGCGTGTGCGTCCTTCCTTCACTGAACATTTGCTCTCAATCTTATTGTTAGATGTAGTCAGCATCGATAACTAATTCTGACTTAAGTTATCATAAATTATAATACACCGCACAAATAAAATGAATACAGTCTTTTTACTGAGCTATAATTTATTTTCACTTCTTGCATTTACAAGGGGGAGGGCTGTCGCAAGCGTTACGTAATTATTAAGAGGGTCAATCACGAGTTTTGGGTTTGTTACAGCTGGAGAGGGGGTATTCAGAATACTCCAAATACGTGATTTATGGACGGCTCCTAAGTGGCAATGTGTCATGCCAGCTCGCTACCTGATTTGTATTTTTCATCTAGGTTCTGGTTTATTTTGCGTACGGAAAATGTAGTTCTAAATGAAACAGAGAAATATGCGCCTACAACAATTGGAGTTGTAAGCGCAACTTGCACTGGAATGTCTCTATAATAATTATTCCGTGTAATTACGTTTCGCCAGTGTCGCGTCTGGTGATAGCTGGTTTTTGCTGCTTTTGTTTACGAAGTATACATTCTTGTGATCCTTGTACACTTCCTGCTTTTGTGGCTGCAGTGGTTGGTGGGTGGTTTCTTGTTGGTTGTTGGAATCAGAGAGTATATTACTTGGAATTGGCTGGAGTGGAGTGATTGGGTGTCAGTTGCTGTGTGACCCGTGATACTGAATTTTTTGATTATTCATTGTGACTGGTTCGTTAGTGTGTTACCTACGAGAAAGATTCTGCCTTCCTTGTGGACGTTGAAAATCTACCGAATATGGAAGTGCATACTGATATCAGAGTTTTGGATAATGAAGAAAAAGTCACCACTGAATTGTGCTCTTTGGTGGAGTATATTGCCAACACAGCTATAGAAGCAGATGATATTTTCAAGATTGGATTGTCAGGTGCTGTCTTTAAGATTCTCGCAACGTTATGATACGTTTAAAGTTTTATAGATTATGAGTACATTTGTAATTATGAATTTGTAGGTGGTTCTATCCCAGCTCTTCTTGCGAAAGGGTTATCACAAGTAAAGACAGATTGGTCCAAATGGAGATTATTTTTCTGTGATGAGCGAGTAGTGCCTTTTGAAAGTACTGAGTCAACCTTTGGTGTGTACAAAACATTCCTGATTGGCAATGTGCCATTGACAGAAGATCAGTTTATAAAAATCGACCCTCATTTAACAGGTAAGATAGTCTAAGATTTTGTAAAATTAATACTTTATGCACAATGTCACGTTTACATAAAATTATTTGCAGTTATTTAAAATAATCTGTAAGTAACATTTTATAATAGTGTCACATCTTGACACATTTAAAGATCGTTGTATATGTAATGGGCTACGTTAGATTCGATTTGTGTCTTGTGTATTTGACACACTTAGGGAATAATGTCCCTAATTTTGTTTCTGTACAACACATGGTTTGTTCTTGTTTAAAAAACAGCATCACTGTGAAGTAAAAAAATACTGTTGAGAACAAATGAATTAAATCTTTCCAGAAGACAAGGAAATGCTGTTATTAGTAACACAAAGAGGCACAAAATGAAATTCATAAACATTCCATTTCATGTCACTGGAAGAGAAATAGGAAAAAGCAGTTTGATGAATGGGATAAAGTATAGATTCTTTGTGCAAATGTGTTATGTTGACTCGTGAACAATATTCAGTTCATGCTGAAATACTAGTTACGATGCTGTAATTCATCAGAGAATAAGACTACTTCATTTGGAGGTCTTGTAATGTTCTCCAGGTTAGTTCATAGTGTTGCAATTTTGAAACCTTTAATATATTGTAGAATATAATTTGTAGCAATTAACTGCTCCAGAAGTAACTAGTGCCAGAGTTTTGATAACCATAAAAATGTTTTGGCAATAACCAGTGATATAACAGCAAAATATTAATGAAATTATCTGAAGAGAGAATAATGTAGAAAATAACCTACCAATTGAAACTAGTATGTATTATGAAATTTTGTTTCAATTTTACTGAAATAGTCTGTTAATAACTCATAAAATTTAAGATTTTATATAATAGTGTAAATGATTAGAAACATATGTAATATTCAAATACTTTTTAGAAACCTTAAAAACTTCTATAGAAAGTTCCAATAAAAATGCTTTTCTGTGGCGAGATAAACACGAGTAGGATATGTGTATAAACTCCAAAATTGGGGCCTCCTGTTTCCCCTGCCTCTCTTTCCACCATTTTTCCATCTTTCATCTCTGTCTTGTCACCACTCTTCGACCTAAATGGATGTAGCAGTTGAAAGATTCCCCCACTCCTCACTAAACACAACTAAATAATAATATTAAAATAACAATAAAATAATAATAATAATAATAATAACAATAAAATAACAATAATAATAATAATAATAATTATTATTATTATTATTACATATTTTCCAAAGAATTACATCGATAGTGTACATAACATGTTACTATTTACATAAATAATTTAGAACAACAACAAAAACTGTCCCCATAAAAACAAAACAAAAAAAAAGAACGAATATTAATTTTACTCCACTAGGTTTCACCTGTTGGCAAAAATACTTTTCCTATAAAATTTATTTTATCCAGTACACTCCAAACCAGAGAGAGGGGTGTGTTACTTTTTTTTTTTTGTGTGTGTTTACGGTTGTTGAATATGGTTCGCCCAATCATCTGTACTGTTTGCTAGTTACTGTATGCTGCGTGAACCATTTCTACTGAAATTTAGATTTCTTCCAAGGAATGAATTGAATGAAGTGAAATGGCAACTAACATTAACATGAATTACATTGTCAAATTGTCTACATTACACATTGGTTATTCAACAAGCAATTGCCATACAAATTATGAGACTATTAATTAAGTAATTAGGAAGTAAATAATAAGACACAATAACAACAATTAGTCTATTCAGTGAACAATTAACAATTGACATAATTACTAAATGACAAATTAATATCAAATTGTTATCTAAAATTTAAAAAAACAACAAATGAGAATTAAGGAACAACAGGAACATTGTACATAATTAACGAATTAAAATCTTGAATAGACAGCAGTTAACAGTAAAAATGAAGATTTAGTTGTACTTAATGAACAAAATAAAATTTTGCAATGGCAGTACTCAACAGGAAAATAGACATCAAAATCATCAAATTATATAAAACAAATAAGTTGTGAATAAATAAAACAAGTTGGCAGTTGGCAACAGGCAAAAATGAGAATTTAGTTATACTTAATTAACGTATTAATAACTTGTAGTGACAAATCAACAAGCAAAAAGAAATCAATTATTATCTAAATTAACAAATAAATTATAAATAAGACCAAATGGCAATAATCAACAAGCTAAATGGATAACTCTTGAATTTTTCTATTTTTATGCTGTGCCTAGTATCTTGTATACCATTCTTTTAATTTATTTTTCAATATCCGTTTAGGCATAACTGCTAATATTTTATGCAGCATTTAATTGAGCAGTTTTGGAATGGCTGGGTTAAGCATTCTCTCTCCAATAATAATAGTAATATATATAATTGTCACCATCCCGTCACTTTGTTGGACGCAATGACGCTCCGACAATATATTCTGCAGTTGTAAAAAAATTCCAAATTGTGACCATGTTACCGAGTAACAATGCATTTTAATAATTAAATATGTTCAAAGAATTGGTTGTCTCGGTAGCTTAGTGGTGAGAATAGCTGGGCGTAAACAAGAAGGTCCAGGTTTGAATTATATAGAATAGGGGCAACCAAATCTTTGAACAAATTTAATTAATAATAGTAATAGTATAAATAACAAATAATTGTAAAAATAACAATAACAATAAAATGTATAAATTTCTTGAAGTATCAACAGAATTCATGCTGAGGTAATATCAATTGTGTATTTGATCTTCATTAAGATTGATTTTTTTATTACGAGCCATAACAAAATATTAGTCCAAGATTGAATGGTGTTTGTGGTATGTTATTCTTTTGCTTTTCAAAAATAGTTACAAATTCTTCAAGATTGCAACACAGTGATAAATGCTCAAACGTTTGAGAATTACTTTTTAGGACAAATTGTAGTGAGAGTTTGATGTTCAGGGAGAAAATGTCGTAGTGTGTACACATTAATTTGAAACCAATTTGTTTCCCTTGTACTTATTTGTACTTTTGACTACGTTACACAAGTAATGAAAAAATGACTCCTAAACTCCTGGTTTCATATTAACTTTTTGTGTCAATGGAGAAGATCTGTTTTTAAGAAGTGGAAATGGTTTTATAATAGTTAAAAGTAGTTGGAGTGTATCTATTTTAGTTGTGTGGTGAGCTTTGATTATTCGGGTGATCACCTCTTTACTAGAGTTGACCAAGAAATTTTAATGACAAGGAATGGGAGCGAGGAGGTATACATAAAGTTACTAATTCAAATATGTTGATAAATTTATTTTGAACAATACATAAATAGACTTGTTTGAAAACAATTGAACTTAATTTATATACAATTACATTTTCTACATTGTTTCTTTGCCTTTTCATTGAAACAAACCTAAACTTCTTTTCATGTCAAAACACTTCAGATTGTACTCAGTTAATTCAACTATCTTAAAAATCAGTTATTTATTACTGTGAAATACTTGTAATAAATATATTCTCTTATTTCACATAAGAAATTATATATTCAACTTATTAGTACTGCTTATTATGAGGTTCATCTAGAAAGTAAGTTTCCCTAGATTGTTAACAAAAAGTAAAAAAAAATTAATTGGAAAACTTTATTGTAATGGATAGTGCACATGTTGCACCATTTTTCACATAATCACAACTAGAATCAACGCACGTCTTATTGTGGGATCAACATTTGTGTCCTTATTGTAGTCTGCCATCTGGGATTGGTACCAGTGTTCAACAGCCGCCTGCTACTCTGCTTCACTGTGATGTGTGTAATGCTGACCAGACAGGAATTTCTTGGTGTAAGAGTAGATGAAAATTGCTATGGGGTTGAGATCTGGACTATAGGTGGCAAGTCAAACATTTGGCCACATCTGCAGCAGTTCTGCTAAGAGGTGTTTGACCATTCACCTTATAGTCCAGAACTAGTCCACACAAATTTCCATTTCAGACACCTCAAGACATTACTGTGTGGTCACCATTACTCTTTTCATAGTGACACAGTTGTGCCAACGGCTGACAATCACTGGTACCTAACCCCTGGGGCACATTTTAACAAGACAGGGTTGCAAAAGTTGATCCTGCAGTATGACAAATATCTCAGTTATGGTGGTATTTATGTGGGGAAAATAGTGCAACATGTGGGGTATCTGCTAAAGTAAGATTTGTCCTCGAAATTGTATTTTCTTTTTGTTGACAACCAAGGGAAAATAACATTTTGCGTAATCCTCTTTTCGTAGACTAGACTGTGGACCAAATTGTGAAAAGTTCAAGCAAATCTATTTTTGAACAATTTTTTTTTAATGTTGACGTATTGTTTAAAATACTGAAATAACTGAACTGAAATATAGTAAGGGCCAACAGCAATAATTTGTCTCAAGACTTGTCCAAATTATTCTTTAGAAACTTTTGGGATGATTGAGTTAGGCTTCACATTTGATAAATTATTAATATGGACATATCTGTTCGTGTATTAATTCATGATTGTTCTATTTAGCCCTTAAGTTTAAAACAGACCTTCTCAACTATTGTGGAATTTACATAATAAGACAATAAATGTGCATTTAGTATTAGGTTGATATTATTGCAAAGTTTTCAAGGACTTGTCATCAGGCTGTAACAAAGAATATTAACAATTGACAATGGGTAAATATTAGATTAAGTACATTGAATTACAGCAAAACTTTTGTTACAAATATAGGCAATAAATATATTAAAGTGTACACTAATAATTACATGCTATAAGTATATGGAGCATACCTACTAAAACTATAATTTTCTCATATTAATCTTATCTTGTAATACTTATTGACCCTTTTGTTTGTGCCAAGGCACCAACGTATGATAGCACACCATGTGTGTACACAGAGATGCACACACACACACAGACACACAGCCCTGTGTGGTTGCCGGGGTTTTTTGTAGAATAGCGCCACGGGACCTCCGCCTGTCGTACAAGGCGACTAAAAGGAGCAGCTGTCCGCTGTCCTTTCCCTCTAATATCCTTACTTTCCCACCTAGTTT